AAATTCAAACTCAACAAAATTGTAAGCTTTGATAAGATGCAAATCAGATCAACGTGCTTTTTCTTTTTTGTTTGGCATTGCTCAACTGACTGAGGGCGTTTCCCTTGCTTCTTGTCGTTCATCGTCCACCCAGTCAGGAATGTCAAGATAGCAAAGATTGTGTCCTTCTCCAACCCCTCCAGAACCTTGCCCGTCAAGTACGGGTGGTCCAGGGCTAGTAGCCAGCCCACGACGTGGGAGACCTAGGCAAACAATTGCTACAGAAAAAAACGATTAAATGGCAGCACTGACCAGTTGAAATCCCTTTGAAACTTTGTGTCAACAGACGCGACTGACGGACAAGATGAAAGTCCTGAGGGCCTAGCGACAAAATCCCTGAACCTAACCTGGTGCTTGTAAGTCTCCACATTGGAGTTCCTCGAGCGATTAGATTCGCTCCGGAGGGCGGGGCGTCGCACATCATTCCCTCCGTCACCATCAGGCCACCTCAGTAAAGAATATTGACAGCGCACTGCTGCTTTCACACACCTTCAAATCAATGAAGTTACAGTAAGCTGTTTTTTTGAGTGTCATTAAACTGTGTCGCGGCGGTCATGTTCAAAATTTGTAGATAATATAGGCCACCGCAAAATGACGTACATGTGTTTGAGTTAGGGCGCTCCATTGCCTCGGAATCCTCGTCGTTTTGTTCCTCATTTGATTCTGCTTCTGATTGGTCGTCAGCGTCAACGCTCAGACCCTCAACTTCGTCTTCCAAACTGTCCTCCGTATAGATTTCTTCCCGCGTGCGCTTCTTTCCCAATGCCATCAGATTCACTGTCGCCGGCAATCGCGATAGGGCGGCAGCTTAAACCCCTAAATATCAAGGCTATCTCCCTGCCCTTGCTCCCCTTCCAAGATCCAGTCTATATGACTAATACTGCTCTAATTGGACTAGAATTAAATTTGACTTCATGTCATGCAAGCAGAACATATCAAAAGCAAATTGTGCAAATGCGCTCCCAATTGCTTTTAGATCTCAAATCTGGCTGACCAGTCTTTGCTGAGTGTGAAAAACTCGACATCTGACCTTCTCGGAGTAATGGATTGAGCACGTTCACTACATCACTACACGGCTTGGGGTGTTCTTAATTTGGACCTATTTAGACCTTACTTAGGGTGAGTTCTTCCAAAGAAATAAATCTTAGGCTGACCGTGCTCTGTCCCAACCTTAATCCCTTCTTACCAGCAGCATGTACTCGTCACTTGGCGGTGCTTGATCGGCAAGCTCTTGCCTTAGCAGTGTGAGACAGAGGAGCCATACGCATTCAGCCCTTTCTCCACATTCTTTCATAATTAAGTTTTGGTAGGAGTTTATATCAATTCAAGCCACGACAATTCAGTGGCTTTGCTCGACTGAAGAAGCTTGTGAACAAAACGAGGTGTAAAGTCGGCGTCCTCTTCCTGGGTATCCAGAATGTAGTGCGGTCCTGATTCCTCCGATGAGCCCACCAGCTTCTTCAGGATCAAGCCACCTGGAACACGCAGCTGCAGGTTTGACAAAGGGTCGGCCAAAAAGAATTTCTCACCAATTTGTCCCAAATATGGTGCATCTTTGTTTGGCTCGGTATCCATAATCTCTGCTTCGTCCGGCTCTTCCTCGTCGTATTCATCTGAAAAGCTGAAGCTGTGCGCCTAGCACATGCAATAGAGATACATGACAGGCTTTATCGAGCTTTAGTTTGTCTTTAATTTGCCCTTAATTGAAGGAAATCAGGAAACCTGCACATCATTGTCGTGAAGTCTCACAACATCAGGCCTTCTCTTCAGACTCATCCTAGGTCGTCCAAGTGGCTAGTGTTCCAAGCACGGTAGGCACAAAGTTGAAGTGAAGTTGGTGTTATTTACTATACAAAAAATATTCTTATTTCTATCATAAAGTAGCACCCTGTCATTGTGACAAGTATCAGGAATCTTCAAAGTCTGTGCTGCTTTTGCAGCCGGACGCTTTCGAACAGCCTCAGTCGAGCTGACCAAAATTGAACAGGTTCGAACAGCAGCTACCTATTCAAGGAGCATCAATTAGTTTTAACTATATCAATCTTGGAGCTGACGCTACACAACTTTTGTCTGTCACATCTAAATTAAAACTAGGGAACTGGAGTCGCAGTCGCTTTCGGACTTGGAGTGGTGCGCCTTGACTCTTTTCCTGGATTAGGCCTGAGATGCATACTGTTGGACGACTTCCTCGAACCCCTCAGCAAACACAAATTGCCCTAAACAATGCCTAAATAAGTGCCAATTAAACCTCTCAGCTGCAATCATGAACTTCTCACAAATTTGTTGGTAAAATTGGAAACAACTTCAAAAGTATAAAAACGGCAATGAAGTCCAGTCGGAATACTCACGATCACGGAAAGATGAATTTCGAGAACTACTTTGACTTTTGCGCAAAAAATCCAGCACATCTTTGGGGAGATCAGCTCGCTTGTTCTCATTTGGTGCTTGGGGTACCTTGAACCCGTAACCACCCAGTTGATGGCGCTTGATGCGATTCTCCTTCAACATGGCCAGTTGGAACTTAACGTACTGCCTCATTTCGCTGGGTCCCCACAAAGTTTTGGCTAGTGGATCACCTCGTTGGATGACTTGGGTGCACATCGCCTGAACAATCTCTTCTTTCGTGTTCCTTAGCCGTTCCGAGCGAAACTACGACCAACTATACCTGTTTGGAACTGCAACCACAATTTCTGAACGGTTCAGCAGTTTGCTTGGTTCAGGAATGAACGCTATATAAATGTAAAAATATATATAATAGTATATATAATAGCTCTACATCTATAGGTGGAAGTGAGCAAGTCTGAGTCGGAAACCCTGGTCTGGGATCACTGGGCAACCATCCAGCCACAAAGGTCAGCATCCCGAACAAAGTTGGCCTGCGACAGCCTTCCAAGTCTGTAGCCTGCAAGTGTGGATGAGCAAGGCCTTCAAACCAACCAACGATGTCATCGTCCTGGGCCCGGGCTCTTGAACTTAAAATTGAGTACCAATTGAAGTCTCGCAGTACTCGTAATTATTTGTTGCTTTGCTCAAATTTCAACTCCGTAAGGCGCGCGCTGTAAAGTCTGCAATTGTGTTCTTCTTCTTGTACAGTCGATTCGGCGTTGTCGCACAGGTTCCACTTGTCTGTTCAGTAGTAGGTTCTTCCATTCCTGCCTTTCGTTTCGGGGCTCCCTTGCTCTTTGCCTTTGCCGCTGGCCTGCTGTTGATCACTGGCACCCCGTGTTCAGGATACCTGAGAAGGGCCAAGCACTTCAGTTACACAACACCCAATTAAACTCCAAATAGGGGTCATTGAACAAAAATTACCATGTGGGTCAAAATGCTCAAGTTCTTCCTCGGATTCCTCTGACTTGCTCAGCATTCGGGTGCGCTGCTGAAAAGATTTAGTGGCGTCCTGATCATCTTCCTGTTTCCGTTTCCGTGGCGGCATGGCATGCTAGTAACAATCTAGCCAGTTTGAGACTTGAACACCTGCCAAAGTGCGATTTACTGGACCCAATTAAGGCCCACACAAGGCCATAATAAGGAGCTAAAGCAAAGGACGGTGTCACACGGTTTCTCCACTCGGAGTATCCTTGTTATTCATTTGTCAAGCTGCACACGCTGGATGCGGCTGCATGAATTGTGAATTATATATGCCATTTTTGAAACCAGCTGGATTGCTTGCTAAGGCTTTCGCCCACACTTGAAATCACACAAAAAGACAACTAAACAGAACAGTCGGTTTTATACCTTTGGCGTGTGGGTAGAAGCGTTTCCAGCAAAAGTATCCGCGCCAGAAAATCTAATCTACGCCGTCCGCTCATCGCTCACAAAGGTCCATGAACTGGAGGAATCATCAAGGACCTTCTTTTGCTTCTGTGTTGCATCTTGGGATTTCATGATGGCATCCATGAGAGAGCCCTCACACATATCCGTCCCCGAATCAGCCACCCACCAGTGGCAACTTGTGGAATCACTGGGTGTCTCCTCTTCGCTCTGGGGCTGCTCTGACAGCCAGCGGGCCAATCGCGCCAATCGTGAAGATGCACCCTTTTGTTGTGCTTGGACCTTGGCCCATGCACAAAAGTCTGGGTGTTTGCGATGTAGCTCGCAATAGCTGAGGCTTGCCCATGGCCCAAATCCAACGATGTCATGACCATTGACAGGCGCAATGGTATAGATCTGGTTCAAAGCAGCTGCTTGCAATTCTTCAATAGTAGCCTTCGAGGAAACCACAAGACACAGATCCTGGCAAAACTGCACCAAATTGCTTTTCTTTCGGCTGGCAGCATTCAAACGGGAAATATGGTGTTGGAGGTCTGTTTTTTCCAACTTTTTCTTGGCCACGCCCTTCTCTTCCAAAAGCTCATGGTATCGCGCCATCAATTCGACTCTGGTCCATCCTTCCGGAGGCCGTTCACCAAGCTCTTGGATTTTCAAAATCAAGTCGTTCTTCTTGATGTAGGTCATGGCTTGAAAATCTGCAAAGCTGCGATACAAAGGTTCTATTGCCAGTAGTATTATGTGAGCTTGAGCTTCCAGGCGATTCCAACCAAGAACGATGACACATTCTCGAGCAAGGCTAGAGAACGGACCAAGTTTGGTGGAAGTTGAATCTAATCAAATATGTCGTAATCTTAGACCCATGGAAGGGGCATCCTTAAATTAGCCCTAAATAAGCTCTAAATAATAGGCATCACTTCTTTCCACACACACACACAGCATGTAGTTGCAGTGATGTGCAAAATTGCTGCTGCTATTGGAGAAGAGTCCTTTTTCAGTCAGTGTCTGAACACCTGCTGGCTGCCTGCTGGACTTAATTCATTACAAAAGCTCTGTTCTCTAGAAGAAAAAACACGCAATGCACACACTGTCAGACCAAAAATTTGTCGCCTCGACTGGGGCGGACTGACGGGATCAGATTCTTCGGTTGATTCATTCTGCTAAAAAAACTGATCTGAGATCGATGCAATCAATTAATCGATCCTTGAGAAACAACACAAGGTGATCATCTGGACCACCAGAACGCAGGCAAAGTGCATACAGTTGCCGGCGATCGACCCTGCTCGGCCGCAATCGCTCACCGGAAGTCTTGGGACTCCCATACTCAAGGCAGTACTCGCCGAGACGGGAAATCCAAGAGTCGCTAATTTTTCGCGCCCACAGAGCCTTAGTCAGTCAAGCTATTCGTGCCCGAAAACAAATAACAAACTCTGCTTTAATTTGGCACTAATTGGGCACAAACTGCGGCCAATGCCAACTGCGCTCACTCTCACCTAATCTCTCACACACAATATCCTGTGTTTTGCTTTTGACTTTGTGGCGCGTGATTTTCTTACTGTAGCAAAGCACGTCTTAAGTTATGTTCAGCCTTTTTCCTTGCAAACATACAAATGGAACATTATTGACAATGCGCTGCTACACCCTTATTGAGCTATTGTTTATTTGTTTGTTTGGTATAGTAGCAAAAGACTGATAATATGTCCAGCCAAAGAAACCATCTCCTTTCCGAGACAATGAACATCTTCCCCGCATTTAAGCGGAGAGTCGGGATCCTGCCACTGCTTCCTGAGGTGTGAATCAGCATGCTAAGCTAGGTGACCAAGGTGAGCCAGACTCAAAAACAGTAGTCTGTGTAAAATGCATGCCCTTTTCAACTGTTTGTTTAGATTTGGTGCCAGAGGTTCCAAAAATAAGCAAAGGTTGCTTGGCTCTCTCTACCAGAGGCTCCGGACCAGCGCATACGCTTCTTCGGATTGTCTCCTAAAAACACTATGAGGTTCTTGTCCAGCATGGGGTCCCTGTTGAACTTCTTCTGATAGTGCGACTTGACAAAGTTCAGGGCAGCGCGTTCCCTTGTATTGAGCAGGTAGTCCAGGTACTGCACCTTACTGCTCAATTGCTCTAACTCGAACCGGTGCTCAGCCCTTTCTTTTAATTTACATTTGCCCAGCGGACGAGTTGTAAAATTTCAATGAACATTCAATTCTTGTTGATTGTCCAAGGTGCCCGGGGTTTCAAATGAATTTTGCGCACCCTTGCCACTCTTTCAGCTTCGAGCTTCAAATCGGTTGGTTCGGCCACGTAGTAGTCAGAGGGCCTCGTTTGGACCAAGGCTTTCATAGCCAAGGATATCTTCTCATACATCTTGCGGCAGTCGAATTTCTGGACAACTTTGTGCTTGTGGGCAAGTATCAGGTACAAGCGCGCCCGCGATGCCCCCAAATGTCCCAAGTCCTCCGGATCTACGAAGAGCTCGAAGATGTCATACCACTTTCCATAAATCAGTCGCACCATTTCCATGTTCAGCTCCTGCCCATTGCTTACTTCCTTATTTGGGCTTTAGTAAGGCCTTATTTGGGTGGGTTGATGGGTAGGTAAGGAACTTATTGTGCATCAAACCGGAGTCGAAGCCTAACTTATTAGGCCCAGAATTTAGAACTCTACCGGGTCTCAGTTCAATAACGATTCAATGCACCCTAACATGTCCGAAATGCTGCTCCTGCACATTCTCGATGATCATTACTGGGGTGGCCTTCTCGATGTGGCGTTTCGCATGTGCAAGAAAGACCTTTGCTGTGGGCCCCTCGTGTAGTTTCCGCTGTCCGCAAAGGGATTGATCTGTGCATGGTAGCCCAGCCACCTCCAAATCGGATTCTGCTTCTGGACCAAATAATGGACAGTATGCGCTACAGCTGTAGCACCACTGCCTGTCGAGCAAATTTGCATGATTTACGTCGTAGAGTTTTTTCCAAAATGGATCTGTGTCATTGAATGACCCAGGAGGGAGGCACTGAACCAAATCGCCAAAAATGCAGGGACGCTGACACTGGTGACCGGTGACGCTGTAGCACCACTCCAAATGGTCCAATATCAGCTGCCGACATCTTGCACTGATCTCCTACAGGATACCAACATTTTTTGCGCTTTACTTCTATATATACATGACTTCTGACATCTTCTGACTATATAATCATACTGAACCAAATGCTTTTTGTGCACTATTTGTTTGCTATTTAGGCCTTATTTTGATTGGATCCCAATGCACATCAATTGGTGCTGTCTCAGGTGATAACTAAGACGCTGACGTGAGCACTCACTGGCCTAAATGACACGCCCACTGTCAAAAGGCCAGAATCGTTAACCGTCTTCTCGATGACAGCCAGGGTCATTTCTGCGGTAAAGGCCCCTGTGCAACTACTCGAGGTCTTGGCCGTCGTGAGAAGCAAACTGTCCTGCCGGGCTCACCCTGGCCAATAGGGTCTTATTAAAGGTATATTAAGGCTTATTAAAGGCGCGCGGCTTGGCAGGGCAAATGGAGGGGTCTTGATCATCTATATATGTAGCAAACAAAAGACATAGGACCACGAGCAACTAAGTAGCGCCAACAGCACCGCTCAGTCCTTTTCGCGCAATTCAATTGTAATTGTTCTGCAAAAATGCCCAGCCCAAAGAGCTGTGAGACTGAGCAACTTGATTTTGCAAACATCCTGTGGCCTTTAATTGGTGCATTGCCAATCATGCCTCACTTACTCAGAAGCAAAGCCAATTGTGCTACTTTCTACCCGACGTCGTTTTTGGTATTGATCCCGGGCTTTTTCTATCTCCAAACGCTGTCCGATATTGTTGATGACTGCTCGTGTGGCCAAGCTCATCTCTGTTAGGCATGTTGGGCGATCAAGTTCAAAGCCTGAGGACAAATGTTCCCGCTGAGAGTCTGGGAAAGGAACAGAAAGTTCACACGGGCTCTTTGGCAGGGTCAATTTGGATTCAACTCTGCGCCACAAAAAAATTATGTCATACAGTTCCAGCCCAGACACTGCACAATGCCTGATCCAGTGAAAGTAGGCATTGATAGATGCGGCCAAGCTTGGAGGCATCTGGCATGGACGTGCACAAATAGGTCATGAAAAGCTCTCCATTCCAGCCATAGAAGCCAAGGTCAAAGGATGCCCATTCATGTGTGTGAAAAAAACTCTTTCTTCCTGTCCTCATAGTGGTGGATCATGACGTCCAAAGGGTCATCATCCCCAAACACTTGCATCAGCCGCTCAATGTCGTCTGCGCACATGCTCATGACCAACTGGAGCTGCGCCAGCGAAGATGGGAATGCCAAGGCTGCGTTGCCTACTGCACAGTGCAAGTCGGTAATCTTCTCGGTCACTGACAGACAGGCATGGTGCACAAGCATCAGTCTCTTCAATCTTGTACCCTGGCAAATGGTCGCCTCGATGTGCAGCAACAAGGAGTTCATGAAGGCCCGATGAACTGACTCCCGCCACTGGGTCCAATTCGGCGCGGCAGGAGGAGGACACAAGGCCGCTCTTGCGGCTGCCATGATAAGGCAAAACACCGGATTGCAAGCCACGTCTCAATCTAAGAGGGCGATCCGAAACTGCTGACGTGTCACACACACACAATGAATGATCTCACCCTAGCACCTGCAGCCAAATAGGGGCTTAACTACTCACAAACAGGGACAACTTTATCCAAACACGTACGAGTACGCTGAAAAACCATGTGTCCTCGAGAGCTGGTAGACCGACTTTGTCCACCATGACTCTCCATGCCACCTGCGCGATCCGGGCTGTCTTCGCCAAGGGCGTCTCTTTCTGCCACGCCTCCTGTGACTGACAGTGAGTGAAGGCGCGACAACAATGGTCACCAAAAGTTTCCTTAGTTTGTCCTTATTTGAGTCTTATGTGAGTCTTATTTGAGTAAAAACTTATTATTGTGTGGGTTCAGTTTCAATGGACCCCTCTGTGACTCAGAATCAATTGCGCCTCTGTCAAATCCTCGGGTGGCCACAAAGAAGTGCGGCTTGACTGAGTCCACGCTGGTGCATCACTAGGAGAGTCGCTCACCATTGTGTCTGAGCAACTGCTTGAATCCACATCCATGGCTGTGGGACAAAGCAAGCCGCAATCGTTCGATCGTGTGACAACTGACTGACCAGAACAATGACTCTAGCCTTAAGAACCGCTACAGGCAAGGTGTGTCGTGTAAATTAAAAAAACAATTGTGCAATGCAAGGCAAGCACTGGGATTGCCCCAGTCTGGTGCCTTTGCTTGATTCAAATTGGCAGGGAGGGCATCAATTCCGAAAACTGGCGACAGCCTCCAAACTAAAAGCGGGCGATGGCCTCCAAACTAATTGTGATGTCCTCAAAACTACTAGCGGTGGCCTCCCAAGTGCTAGCGATGGCCTCCACACTGCTAGCGATGGCCTCCAAACTACTAGCGATACTAGCGATGGCCTCCCAAGTAGCTGTGGCCTCCAAACTAGTAGCGATGGCCTCCCAAGTGCTGGCCTCCCTACTTGTGATGGCCTCCAAACTACTAGCGATGGCCTCCCAAGTGCTAGCGATGGCCTCCAGACTGCTAGCGATGGCCTCCGAACTACTAGCGATGGCCTCCAAACTACTAGCGATGGCCTCCAAACTACCAACCCAAAAAACGGTCTTGAACATTCTTCAGGTCAATCCCTAATAAGCTCTTATTAGGCATTGCCCTAATTCCCTCTTCAAGGACCACAGGACGCCCATTTGCAAAATCTTACGGCCTAAACTGCTCTTGAGAATGTTTCAGATCGATCCCTAATAAGCCTTACTTAGGCATGTCCCTTTTTCTTTCTTCAAGAACCCTGTGATTTTTATATGCTAAACGGGTAGTGCCTTATTAAGGACAATTCTCGATTTTACATAAAAAACAGCGTTTCACCCGTATGAGTTCTTAATTTGGCTGCATTTTTGGGGTGGTGGGCAGTGGGGTGGGCAGGTTAGAACCTCATGACTAGTGGTATACTTTAATCTTAGTGACCCTACTAGGTTGGAGACAATGCAATAAATTGCTGTTATGTCGCATCTCGATACAACTGGTACTGACATTCAAGATTGTTGCTACCTGATGCTTCCAAGCGCAAGCCTTCATTCTTCGCCCAAAAGACCGCATGACAATACTGAGATAGTGATGTTTTGGGTTCTGCCCCTGTTGATGTCTTTGTCGCACCTCAGCGCTTTCCTCAAATTGGCAGCAGTCCACCTGCACGAAAATGGCTGAGAACCGCAATTAGGCATGTCAGCGGGAACGAGCTGGGATGTCTTTGAGGTAGTTGATAGCAGAAAGGCTGCTCTGGATGGTGTTCTGATCTCGAACACTCCTGCAATTCCTTGCCAGATTTTGCTGGGACTGGGAACTAAAGTGATGGACTGACATGTCTGACAAGAGTCGGCCTGTTCGAATTGCTGAAGCAGGGCAAGAACCTCCCGTTTCGGCTATTGAGCAGACCATGCTTCCTCCTTTCCAGAATAACTGTGTGCCTATGCTTTTCACCATAAAGCCTCAAGTAGAACGGCTTCTGCGGAGTTGATGGACGGGATGTTCTCACACTCGGCCTCTCCGCCAGCCGAGCACATAAATAGCGGCCGTTGGTCACCTGCACCTGGCAGTGTGTGCACCAAGACATCGTGTGAGGTAAGTGGTCTTCTTGTTACTAGTAACAAGTGCCTTACTAGTAGTAACAAGTGCCTTACTAGTAGTAACAATGTTTGCTATTAGAATTAAATTTAGATTTATATAAATGGATGAGGCAGCTTTTAAGCTGCCTGTTTCAGAAGTTAAACCCCGCCCACCGGATGTTTGACCTGGTCAGGTAGCCAACTGGCAAAAGAAAATGATAAGTCCATAGTAAATCCAGAAAAGGTGGGATCTGGGAATATGTTTTGTCCTTCTTCTCTGTTGTTTCATGTCCTCCCGTCAGGCTCTTCTGAATGTTTTTGTACGAGCCGGGAGTCAGGACAGGTTCCATCCACGGCAACTAGGGTTTGTATCCAGCTCTCCGAACATGTGAGATGGTCAAAATTCAAAACAGACCAATTCGCAATCTAAGCACCCCTTATCTTCCCTTAGGTCTCAAATTGAACTTACCCTTTGCTACAAGCAAAGCTTCCTCCTCTTGTTGCAAATGTTCCTCTTATCTTCCGACCTGTTCAGACTTAGATCCATCGACATCTAGTCACTTTTCGACTTCTCTGATAAAGAAGTAGTCTCCCCAACCCGTCTCTGAACCGTCTCTAATGGCCGGCGTCACCAAAGGCCTGAGCCCACACGACACTGGCTGAGAGCTGCAAGTTCAAAAGAATCCATCTAGAAGGCCTTGGGTCTACCTTTTAAGGAAACCAAATGACATACAGAGAAAGTACCAACTTGGAAAAACCGTTGAGGCAAAGGATTCAGACGAGAGCACTTTGATGGCCCATGACGAGAGCACTTTGAAGGCCCCATCGTCTCCTCTTTTGTCTCCTCAGAGACTCGCATCTTTCTCTCGCTATCGGGTGTGAGAGAATGGACATGAAATGGGTGTCAAAGTTTTGAGTTTGCAAAGCCGGCGAACATCCAGCTTGCACTCCTTTTTTGGGAAGCGACTTCCAAACCCTTTATGGACTCAATCTTTGCCTTGGTCAAGCAGCATAAACTTACATCAGGGGATGTTTGATATACAGCCTGGTAACGCAAGCAGGAACGAAGGCTACGTACATCAAGAACATTTCGGAAGGGCTGAGGCAAAGGACCGAGGAGCATTCGCGGAGATGTAGGTCATGA